CACAATCTCGCTCCCCGACGAAAAGGCGCAGGACATTCTGCGCATCCTCCGGACAGTCCGTGGGTCACGAAAAGTCAAACAACGTGACCTGAGGCCAGTTTTACCAACAGAAAAATAGCCGCCTGCCGGAATTTTTTGCTTAAAGACCGCTTCACATACAGAGTGAAACAGTAAAGCCCTATCCGCTTACGTGCCCATCGCGTTTATGCTCCGTATGTGAAGCGGTCTTTAGGCAAAAAATTCCGGCAGTCGGCTATCTTTCTGTTGGTAAAACTGGCCTCAGCTCAGCCTAAGCGGCAAACTTGTTCACGCCATAAACTGCGTCCCGGCCGGGCACAGTTTCTTCCGCCGGCTCCTCGACACTGCCTACTCGGTGCGCCATCCAAACCACAGGGTCACCATCAACACTGAAACGAAACGAGACCTGGACTGGTGGCTCACCTTCCTCCCCGCCTGGAACAGCACGGCCCCCATGCTGCACCTCTGTTGGACCCCTCCTGACGACCTCAACATGTTCACTGACGCATCCCAAACCGGGTACGGTGGCATGTACGGCGACCTCTGGTTCGCGGACGAATGGCCCTCTCAAACCCTTTCATGGTGCACCAGCATGTCCTGGCTAGAGCTAGTCCCGATTCTGGCGGCCTACGCCATCTGGGGCCCTTTCTGGGGAGGCCGGCGACTGATTTTCCACTGCGACAACAGTGGCGTGGTGGGCGCGTGTGCGAAAGGCTGGAGCAAGGACCCCCGACTGATGTCTCTCCTGCGACAGTTATGGTTCCTTGCCGCGACCCACGGTTTCACGTTCCGAGTGGAACATGTACCCGGCAGACAGAACGGACCTGCTGATGCCCTGTCTCGCCTACAGCTGGACCAGTTCCGGGCCCTGCAGCCGACCGCCAAGCACCGGCCGACCGACGTCCCAGCCGCCATCAAGAACTACCTGCGGAACCCCACGGAGGAGTGTCACGTGGCCACAGGTTTCGCAGTCTAGATGGGCTGGCGGAACGCCTAATTGAGGAGGGACTGGCGCCCACCACGAGGCGGCTCTACGAGGCCAGCGCGAAGAGGTACCGGCAATTATGCTGAACATACCAGCTGGTCGCTATGCCGGCCTCTGAGACCAACCTGCTACGGTTTATCGCCCACTTGGTGCGCGGTGGCCTCACCGCAACCAGGATCTCAACAATACTCGGAGGTGTGCGCCACTGGCACGTGCGTTCGGGAACGGCATGGCTGGGTAGAACCAGCCGGGTCAGGCTGGCACTCGCAGGAGCAGCAAAAGAACCGCGCCGCGCTCCACCCCCCCCCCCCCCCCGCGTCGCGGGCGGTGGCGGGGCTCATCGTACCTGCGGTACATCCGCGGGCCGCGGCTGGCCGTCTGGAACGCATGCAGGTTCATACTGTAAATACAGACCTTGGGCAGTGTTTGGCGTTTCCAGGCTCAGTTGCTGAGCCACAACAAAAGTGGGATGTCCCGTTTGACGGGGTTGAGGCCTATCATAGCCAAACGATGCGAACAACGGTCCGATCTTACACAGGTTTAGCCGTAGGTTCACTGCTGTTCTTTTGTTTGTTTGTCACGTCAGCGTCTGGAAGGAGGTGATGTGATGTGATAGACCCTCCCGTCAGAGCGGCTGGGTCCGCCCCTGCGACCAGGGTCGCGGGCAGGGTTGCCAGATTGGCATATTTCTTGCCAAAAGTAAGAAATTTGGCATTTTTTAAACTCGTTTGGCAAGCAAATATTTCATTTGGCATTTTTGGTAAAATTGGCATTTTTCGGCATTTTGCTGTTTTGAAGCATTTTTTATTAAAAAATGTTTGTTTTTTCATATCAAAATTGTATATTTTATTTTATTGCAATTCTTCTGTTAATAACGGGCAGCAAAAACATTCAAATGGTATTTAGCGATGCTTGATGGATAAAGGAGGGGAGCTATGTCAAAATTAGTGTCAGATTTGTGTTCCCCGCCCCCCCCCCCCAATTGGTATAATTATTCCGCTCCTGCAGTAGTTTCTCTCGTTGATAGAAAATTCTACATCGATAGTACATTTGTGACGTCATAAGCTGGCACTGCCTCAAGCAGTTTCAGGGCCACCACCCGTCACCAGACCTCCGGTCGTTTACACGGATGTGAGACGCCTGCTATATGAATAGCGAACGTTCTTTGTGATTGGCGGCGTCGGAGTGTTGTGAGTCGGTTCGGCGGTTGAATTGTGTTTGGTGGATTGCGGATTGTGGATTGTGGATTGCGGATTGTGGATTGCGATTGTGTTTTTAGGAGCGGAGGCAGATATCAGGATGCCAAAGTGGAAGAACTCATACGAGTCATCAAGAAAGTATAGGGGAGAGTGGGAGAAAACGTTTCCTTGGGTGAAGGAGGCTGCAGACGGAAGCGGATCTGCTTTTTGCAAGTGGTGCCAGAGTGTCCTCATCCCGAAAAAAGATGTGCTTGCGCTCCATGAAAAAAAAAACTGGAAAGCACAAGAAAAGGTGTGTAAGCGCAGCTGTTGCTCCCCCTCTGAAGTTCCATTCGCAGGAATCTGAAGAGGTGAAACGGGCTGAGCTAGAAATTGCTGCTGCCATGTGCTGCCACTGTTCCGTCTCATCAGTTGACCACATCAGTGACCTCATGAAAAAGCATGGAAAGGGAAGCACCCTGGGGAAAATCAACCTGCACAGGACAAAATGTGGTAAGCTGATCACTGAGGTGATATCACCCTCCTTTCGGAAGGAACTCATCGATGATGTGAAGGGGGAGAAGTACTCTTTGATTGTGGATGAGTCTACTGGGCCTCGTTTCATAAAGCGGGTCTGTAATTTACGCCGTTTTTTAGGCTTGTATTGCAAGCGCATAAGCGCATGTGAAGTGATAAATTTATTTCCCCTTCTCCCTTCTGTTCTTGCTTGCAAGATAAATGAATTCAACGATTCAAACTATCGTCATCGCTTCACATGCGCTTGCAATACAAGACCAAAAACCGCCGTAAGTTACGAACTCGCTTTATGAAACGAGGCCCTGATGTAGCAACCAACAAGAACCTGGCCATAGTTATTCGCTACTTCAGCAAGAAGGAGAAGAGGATCATGACCGACTTTGTTGGCCTGGTGCCTGTGTGGAGGCCACAAGCGATGTGCTGTTTGCAGCCATCAAGGAGGTTGTTGAGGGACTTGACCTTCATCTGTCTGACTGTGTGGGATTCGGCAGTGATGGGGCTGCAGTCATGGTCGGTGTCGGGGTCAGTTGGCTCGACTGCGTGCCGGGGTGCGCACGCTCGTGTGTGTAGTGCCGTGTAGTTAGTGTCCCGAATACACTCGACCGCAACTCAACACTAGTCACTAACAACACCTCCGCGCTTTTTCATTCTGATGCGGTCTCAAGGGCAATCAAAGTGGAGGTCGACAGGGAACACACATATGGATCGTTCACACATATTCCCCTGGCTGCATCCAAAACCAACTGAGTGCCCGACTAAAAGCAGACGGCTCGGCCCGATTAATCCTAGATCTCTCCCAACCGTGCGGCGAATCGGTGAGCGACGGCATCGACCCAGCCGAATTCACGTGCTCATGCTCGTCAGTGGACGAGGCTATCGCTCTGATTTTTGAAAACGGCGGCTGCGGGGCGCTGCTGGCAAAGGCCGACATCAAGCACGCTTTCAAACTTATCCCAGTCCGGCCCGATCAGTGGCACCTCCTTGGGTACCATTGGAACGGCGCCTATTATTTTTATGTGCGACTTAGTTTCGGTTCCCGTTCCAGCCCGTGAATCTTTGACGATTTTGCGGACTGCCTAGCATGGCTGTTCCGCTCACACGCTCACTTTTTAACAATGTTAGCTCAGTAACTTTCCGGCATAAACACGCGATTATGCATAACTAGTGTTTGCCATCATATTGTGGCACGAATATTATGCCGCATGGCATGTTGTGGGAGGATAAAGGCAAAATCGCTTGTATATCGATCGTATAATTATCCCGTTTAGTGAAGTGTGTCTATAGCTTGTTTCAGATGCAGCTGACCGACAAGGCCCGTGCAGAGAAAGCTGCCATCAAGGAAGTCATCCCGGACTGCGACCAGTTCCTCTGCAGCTTCCACGTCCTGCAGTCCTTCCGAAGAGAGCTGAACCTTGCCAACGTGGAGAAGGGAGAGCAAGAGCGGATCCTGCGGGTTCTGCAGCAGCTCGTCTTCGCCAATTCCGAGACTGAGCATATGCGTCTCCGTGAGGACGTTACGACATCATCCCACACATATCTGAAGGATAACTGGGACGGAATCAGAGGGGAAGGGGTGTCCAGACAGACCTCGGACAAACAAATCCGTCTGGGGCAGCCATGCCTGGTGTCTTCACCAGCAACCGCCTAGAGTCGCTACACGGCAAAGTCTGTCTGCAGAACTAGCGACATTCTGCCAAACGCCATTCAGTCCTACCTCACCGTCTTGACCACAGTGCGTACCGACAGGAATGTGGAGATCCACGCAGAGATCAACAGGCGACCAGCCAGCTGTCGTTTCACTGAATTTGACCAGTACCAGCGTCACGTGACCTCGTTTTCCCAGTCTCTTTTGCAGGAGCTGGTGGAGTTCGCTACCGTAACACTGGTCGACTCACCGGGAGGGCTGACTGCATGTGACCGGGCGGGAAGGGTGGCCGTTAGCTCCACAGCGTGCGACTGCCTGTTCTACCGGCACTACGACCTACCCTGTCGCCACATCACGGCAGTTCGACTAGAGCAAGGCTATGCTCACTTTCTCAAGAGCTGCATAGTTCTTATGAACGGATACATATTCTATATAGCTCGTTTTACCGCATTTTGTAAACACATTGTATAGCAATTGGCAACTGCGTGGAAGTTGAATCTCCAACTGACCCGGCCGGCGCGGCGCGGTCAGATGACCGTTACGCGGCCGCGCCGCTAGAAGCAGTGGGCTGGGCGGCTGCGTGCCGGGTGAGAAACTGGTGACTGGAAAAAAACTGGCAAATGCCCAGTTAACTTGCCTGAGGATGGTCCTGGAGATCACTTCAGTTTCCCTTCTTCAGGTGTCCCAAAAGTTTTCAGTTTCAACCTTGGTAGTCCTCCAGTCCTCCAAGTTGGATACTGCTGATGCTATCCTGAAACACAATGGTTGAGTCGATTTTCACCATGTCTGATGTCTATTATCAATTCAATTCGGTTTCATGTCGCGGTTTGTAGGTGATAAACCAGCTGTCTGATGCACTTGTATTCAATGTTGCCAGGAATAGGACTAAGATTGTGCAGATTAGGGTGCAAGATTTGACAACAGAGCCGACATCTGCGAAGTCAAACCCCATGATAAGCCCAAAGTTTTTAATTATGCATTGACAGTTTGTTTTCGGTTTTAATGTCACAGATTAGGTACGTGAAACCGGCAGTGCACGTAGCATTGAACCTTCAGTTCGGAGGCATGGCACGAATTCGCCTTCCTAAGCCAATATCACGGAAAATGAATTAACACAACGAATAAAAACAGCATTTGGCCGAGACTGCTAACTCTGGAGCGACGGTCGCGCCGCCTACCTCCCTAATTTCCCAAAGGTGTGCCCAGTCAGTGCGTGATAGCTGTAGATGGCGCTTTTGCTGGGAACTATCCTGGCACCGGCGAATAGACAGGCTAGTGAAGAAAACGCTGGTAAGATGTGAGCTCTTTAGTCTTTACCACTACTGCTTCACAGAAGCAGAGGAGCTTATCACTGCTGAACATTTCGAAGCATGGGTGAGCTGCGAATTCCCCCTTTATGGGTTTTGACAGACACCATTTGTGTCCTGTTACATCTAATGTATTGCATCATATTTTAACCCTCGCCCGTATAGGGGGGAGGGTGGAACCGACCCCCTCGGTTTTCGCGAAAAACTCCCGAAAAAGGCGGTCGATCGCGACCAAACATTCAGTACCCTCGCGTTGATCAATTTTACACCTACGCTGATAATTCCATGAACCTGCCTGACCCTAATGACCTCTGACCTATGACTTACTTTTCGAGACCATGTTTGGCCGGAATCGCGATTCAGCGTATGTCGGCTCGCATCAGCCGCGCGTTTGCAGTCTTTTCGTGGTTTCAAGCGTTCAAACATGTGATATAATGTTGCTCCCAGTCCCATGCATTAGGATGGGCGTCAAGGTCACCTGAAGGTCTGGTCAGGTTATCGACCTATGGTGACCTCGGTTCACTATTTCGAGTTTAAGATGTTTCTAGGCTAGTTTTTGGAGCTGAATTCGAATTTAGCAACCGTAGTCTGGGTGCCTTCGTAATATATTACGATTTACGAAGCTGTCAGTGGTGATTAACACCTATTACGAATATCCGGCAGGGCCCCTACTGGTTGACCTGACCTGACCTCACCCAACCTGGCCTAAATGCATGAAGACATCATCTGTGCTCAAAACTAACATGACATTCGTGATCAGCACCCCGAAAACCCCTTTACAACTACCCTCAACGACGTTTTAACAGGCCCCGATTTTCCCGACTTTTGGGTCATTGACCCGACCTGGAAGGTCAGGAAGATCAACAAATGACATAGGACCTTAAAATTGGGTATCATCGGCTTCATCTCGTCAAAGGCAACACGCTCGTTTTTCCATACCTAAAGCTCCAGCTCGATCAAGGGCGAAACGGCAAGGGGGTCCAACGGACCCCCCCCCCCCCCCTTTACGTTCGCGGCTGGAAAAACGTGTGAATGTTTTCGGGGGGTACAAGTGTAAATGTTTTTTCACATTCACATTTTTCCCTCGATCATTACATTTTCAGAGTGGAATAATCAGTTTTCAGGCGGTCCAAGTGGTTTTCGTGAGAAAAGTGCCGAAAATGGTGTCATTTTTAGATCCTTTATAGGTACAGGGCCCCATTGGAGGCAGTGCTGTGACAGGATCATTAAATAGGTAGAGCGCTTCAATTTTAGCTTAATTCCCTGGTAAGTCACAAACTGGTGAGGCTATGATCTTGACCTGAGGTCAAATTTTTAAGTTGACATTTTAAGGTCACATTATTCTTCATTTGATGCGTCTTGACAAGAGGAACACGATGCCGGCAGAAGAAAGTTCGTGCAAGGTTTGAGTGAAGAGTTACCTATTGCAGAAAAACTACTTGCAAAAATCATCTATTTTGGCAGTTTTTGCCCCTTTAAATTCTTAACTGTTCACTTAAGGTTGAATCTGAGAGTAGTACCCAGAGAGCATTAAAAGAGCTATCTAATGTATTTCTCGTCGGTGCTGTAGCTCTCTGTTCCCGAGTTACTCACCGCCTCACGGGTTCGTCAAAAATTATTGAAGTTTGACCTGAAAAGTGGAGAAATTTCACCTTCAGTAACCTCTGGCAAGCTGAACTTTGACCTGACCTTACGTGACTGAAGTAATTACTTCGCTGTTTGTTTTCGACGCTCTTATGAACGCCGCTTTCCGCGTGTTGCTATGTGGCCCAGGAACTGAGTTAGAAGGGGGTGTTCGAACCCCCCCCCCCCCCTCCAGCAGGGCAAGGAAATCCAGGACCCCCAACAGGGCACAGGTGCCTAGGAATCTCAGCCAGAAGGACAAGAACAATAGCTACTAATTCAAAAATATCTAGTCATTGTATGAATGACTTATGAGGAACACAATGATACTGAAAGCCAGGCCCAGCACTCCCACACTTGGGCAATGTCACATATATAACTGGAATAGTGAGGACTGAGGGATTCTGGTAGCTGTTGGCGGCAAGAATGTTGGTTATCACATTTTGAAACTAGGAACATTACCTAGTACCTACCACTGCACCCAAAGGTCCAGCACCCACAAAAAAGGATAATCTGGACTTATTAAGAAATTAAGAAACATCAATTACAAATGAAATGCACTGACAAAATGGACACAAAATGCAAGCAGCTCTTTACTGTTCAATAAGTGAATAAGAGTTCAGAGATAATTAAGAAACATTATTTTTACTAGAGGTGAATCATTGTTCCAGAGACCAGCACATTTTTATTTCTTCAAAAGGTGATTATTTTATTTTTAAATCTTCCTTACAATCGTCAACATCTTCCTGTCAACATCTTTTTGAACACAGCACCAGAATTGCTAGCTGAATTACATACTGAGAAAACTAGTTGGCGCACATTGACTTGACCAGATTTCACAGACATCAATTTATCAAATTTATTTACTATTTCACAGACTCATAGCTTGTATTTGCCAATACCTACAGCCCCAAAGGGATAGACAGCTTCTCAGTAATTGTCTTAATTAATTAATAAATTGCACAGCATTTAACATAACGTTACACCGTCGGTGTTCAAAACTTGTTTTGAAGATATTATTCCTTACCTTACCTTACCTTACCTTGAAGGTCATCGGGATAGAAAAGGCCACTTGGCCTATAGGTCCCGTTCTCACCGAGTTACTTGCAGAGACATTCAGGACTCGTAAGGTTGTGGCATGACAAACATTAGGTGGGTCCAGTGATGGTCGAGTCGTGCCTTGAATGTCGAGAGTGTTTCGGCTGATACGACCTCAGCAGGTAGAGCGTTCCAGTCGTTGATGATGCGGACGCTAAAGCTGCTTCGTCGGGCGAGAGTCACAGCTCGGGGTTTGAGCAGCTTCCACCCGTGGCCTCTCGTCAGCTCGGTCTCATTCTTGGTGAAGAAGGTCGTTGCCGGCACATCGATTCCACCGTGGAACAGCTGGTAGACCGTCAGCATGTCTCCCCTGCGGCGGCGGTAGAACAACGACGGCAGTCGGAGACGCTCCAGACGCTCGGGGTAGGGAAGGTGCTTGATGGATTCCACCATACGCGTGGCGCGTCTCTGGACCTTTTCTAAGCGTTTCTGGTCTCCTTTGCTGAACGGTCCCCAGACGGCGTTCCCAAACTCCAGAAAGGGGCGGACGAGAGCCTTGTAGAGCAAGGGTAGGGTCGTCTCATCGATGTGAGCGAAGGATCGCTTGATGACCGCGAGCAGCTGTGAGGCTTTTGAAACGGCCGCGGCCGTTTGCGTATGAAACTTCAGCTCAGAGTCGATTATGATCCCCAGATCCCTTTCTTCGTCTACCACAGCGATGGGCGTCCCGTTCAGCCTATATTCGTGTGCAGGGTTTCTTGAGCCCATGTGCATCACCTTACACTTTCCTGCGTTGAACGGCAGCAGCCACCTTGAGGACCATCGTGCCAGAGCGTCCAGATCACCCTGCAGGCCAGCACCACGATCGGATGGATTTGTCAGTGGCTTGTATAGCTTCGTGTCATCCGCGAACATCTTCATATTGCTTGAGACCTCTAGTGGCATGTCGTTGACGTATATTGTGAACAGCGTCGGCCCCAATACTGAACCTTGGGGGATACCGCTGGAGACAGGTGCCCACTCCGAGTTGCAGCCCTGAATCAGCACCCGTTGACGACGGCCAACTAGGAAGGTCTGTATCCAGGTGAGAAGTTTACCTCCGACACCATACGACCTCAGCTTCTCGAGAAGACGTTTGTGCGGCACCGAGTCAAATGCTTTGGCGAAATCTAGGTAGACCACATCCACCGGGGTTCGGTCTTCCAAGGCAGCGGTCCAGTCTTCCAGTACCTCAAGCAATTGGGAGCTACACGAACGCTTTGCCAGGAAACCATGCTGAGCTCTGTGAAGCAGGCCGTTTGCTGACATATGGTGCAGGAGCTCATCCCTGATGACAGATTCGAGGACCTTACAACAGACGGATGTCAGGCTCACCGGTCTGTAGCTGGATGGTAGGCGGCGATCTCCTTTCTTGAATATCGGAGTCACGTTGCCGATCTTCCACTCTGGGGGGACATCCCCGGAGTCCAGCGATTTCCTGAAGATCCAGCTCAGTGGGTGGGAGAGGACGGCTGCATTCTCCTTTAGTACGCGAGGGTGAAGGCCATCGGGTCCTGGCGAGCTGTGTGCCCGCAGCGCTGCCAGCTTAGTGTGTACCCGTAGCGGGGAGATTTCGACGTCCTCCAGAAGCGGTCCGTGATGGGGGCGCTCCAGTACAGGGATGGTGTCTGACGCTTCTTCGACGAAGACGCTACTGAAGTATCTGTTCATGGCGTTAGCTTTTGCCTTATCAGAAGACACCGTTTCTCCATTCTCGTCTTCTAGGTCGCCGATGCCATTTTTGGTCTTGAGGCGTGAATTTGCATACCGCCAGAAGCACTTCGGGTTATCTTTGATTGACAGTACCAGCTTTTGCTCATGTTGTCTCCGGAGGGCTCTGGTCACGTTCCTCAGGTCGTTTCGACACCTGACGTACCTGGCGTGATCAAGTTCATCGTGGCTTCGGCAGTAAGTGCTCCACAATAGCCTTTTCCTTTTCCTTAGTTGGAGGGCTTGGCGGTTCATATATATGTTATGGTCAGAGGCCTTCTTTCTGATGCTGGAGCATGACTCAATGGCTGCACAGATTGACGAGCTAAAGAAGGTGTGAGCTTCTTGAGTACTCATGTTCCTCATCACCGCCCAGTTGCACGATTCAAGCACATTAGTCAATGAACGATAGTTAGTGCGAGAATACATGCGTGGCAGCGAGGATGGCGCAGGTGCGTAGCACATCAATGTGAAGGTAAGGATCACATGATCACTTCTACCCAGGGCAGGGCCGTACTCAAGGTTGCGAACCATACCCTCCTCATTGGTAAATACTAAGTCCAGAGTACTTGGCCTCTCTCCAAGCCTGTAACGTGTGGGCTGGGTAACGTGTTGGAACAGGTAACAGTCCTGGATCGTCTCCACAAAGGAGTGCGTGGCTGAAGGAGATGCACCAGTTGCCCAGTCAATGCCAGGAAGATTGAAGTCGCCAATGATGACAAGGTGTGAGAAGGGGGCTGCAGCTGCTTGGCAAATCAGCTGCTCCAGCCTTTTAATACTTTCTTCTTGGGAGCCAGATGGGCTTCGGTAGATGCACCCTATCAACAAGTGATCTGTTCCTTGTAGCTTCAGTCCAACCCAAACATCTTCAATCATTGATTTGTCAAAGACTACCTCAGAGACGCTCAGATGCTGTGCTACATACACACAGATACCTCGTAATCCAGAGTTGCCCAGGTCCATCATACCTGGATTGAAGTTGGTGAATAACAGGTATCCTGGAATGTGCAGCAGTGATGGGGCAATAGGCAGTCTCTGAGCTTTCGGAAGGGTCTCAGTAAGCAGCATCACATCTGGCTCCTCTCCACATATCCTCATGCTTAGCTCATCCCTTTTGTTTATGAACTGGTCTGTGTTTGTATAGAGCACACGAAGATTCCTGACAGTCTTTTTCCTCTGGCTCCAGGCTACATTTTCTTTGTCTAGTCAGTCTTGCCTAACTGGCTCTCTGGCAGTGCCATTCTGGTTTTCAGGCTGATGAGTGTCCACCACAGCAGAGCCGTCCTCCTGTTGGCGGATGTTACCTGTTTCAGAGCCCGCTGATCCCCCAGCGGAAGGAGTGGGTTGTACAGCTGCAGAGTGTCCAACAGGTCTCTCCTGCTGCTGTCTGTTCATCCCATGAGCAGGGTTTGAATCGGGTACCCGGGCTCTATCGGTGCCTGTTGAAGATGCAGCATGTCGGGGCAGCTGAATCACTTTGCCACCCCTGATGACAAGGTTGTGTTCTCCAGCGTGCCTGCGGGTTGCAAGTTCCTCTCTCAGTTTTTTATTTGTTTCTCTCTCCTTCTGCGTCATGTCTGGGGAGATGTATATGTTACTGTAGTTCGCTGTGTTCCTGAGCCATGGCGCACTACGCAGGATGTCACCACGGACTGATGGGTTTCCGAGTGTGACTATGAGTAGTCTTGGTTTGTTGGGAAGTTTTTTGCCTGCTCTGAAAGAACCAACTGCTGTTACATTCAGTTTCATCACATCCTTGATAATTTTCACTACCACTGTAGTGTCCTTTGCAGATCTTTCTGTAACAGTGTTTCCTTCATGTTCAGGAAAGTTGTGGACCACTATGTTTGCCTTGCGCCTTTCCTTGTCGGCAAAGTCATCGAGTACCTTTGACATGTCCATAGCTGTCTTAGAGCTGCCAGTTGTAGGCATTTTTGGGAAAGAGTCAAGTTGTTGTTTTACCATATTGGTAACTTCCTCACAAGTTCCTTTCACTGCATCTGCATAGGATGACTTTTGCTGTTTCAGAGTTGTCTCAATGGCTTTGGCTTGGCTTTGAGCATTTCTTTCGCAAGTTTCTACACACTTTTTGAGGGCATCAAGGTGGCCACTTGCCTCCCTGTCTCGGGTCTGAAGGGACTCTTTAATCAGGTCTGATTGTTTAGAGACTGATGCCTCCAGTTGGATGATTCTTTGCTCAAGAGACGAGACAAGATGGTCGCATTGCTTTTTTTGTTTCAGATCTACTTTGCATTTGTCACAGAGCCACGCAAGGGTTTCATACTTGTCAAGTGCCTTGACGGCTAGCTTCGGAACCCCCTGGCAGTGGGGGTGAAACCAGTCATGGCATTTGTCACACATAATGCCTGGCTCACCATCCTTGACAGGGTTTCCACGTGCCTTTGCGCTCGGTCCACCCCTGCAAATAGCCCCCTCACTGCCTGTATCACTGGATGACCGCGAGAGAGAGCTAACAGAGCCAGGCCCATGACCAAACAGTTTATACATGCTTTCATCCAACTTACCGACAGTTTTCTTGCTCTGTTCCGTGTCCATACCTGCATTGTCGCCGACTCCGCACACTACACACTACACTATTCATTATTCATTATTCATTATTCATATTCATTATTCATATCTCCAATACAATGTGCACTAACCAGTTTTCTCAGTACCCTAATTCAGCCATCAATTCTCGTGCTGTGTTCAAAGAGACGCTTACAGTCAGGGGCAAACTTTAAATAAATGAACTATTGTATTGTATTGTATTGTATTTACATTTAAGAGCGATCCACATACAAAGTGTGTGGCGATCACTGCTCACTATACTACCAATACTTTAAAGTTATGGCTACTATTCCTGAGGGGTGTTCACAGGCACCGCAAACTGCTGAGTGCGGTAGGCGGTGTGCAGCAGGTGTGGGGGTAGGGGATGGGTAGGCGGTTCTGCTGTCATGGCTGTGTGAGGTGGACGGTCCGCTGTGGCCAGTCCCGACCGGCCACAGCGGTTGCTGTGTGGGGTGACAGAAGGCTGACATAGGGACGCAGTGGGCGGAGTTTGGAGGCTGTGTAGTGTGTACAGTGCAACCACACACAGGGCCAATGAATAGCCCTCTGAGGGCTGTTCACGGACCCTGTGTGCGGTTGGACCGCACACAGCCTCAGCCTCCAAGCTCCGCCCACTGCGTCCCTACGTCAGCCTTGCGTCACCGCACACAGCGACCGCTGTGGCCGGTCGGGACTGGCCACAGCGGACCGTCCACCGCACGCAGCCGTGACGTCAGAACCGCCTACCCATCCCCTACCCCCACGCCTGCTGGACGCACCGCACACAGCGCACGCAGCAGTGTGCGGTGCCCGTGAACACCCCTCTGGTGTACAAGATAACATTTGATGTCATTGCATCCCAGTTCCCACTGATAAAGAAAAAGGAATTATCAATTAAGAACCTAACAATAGGATTCTTAATGACTCAGGCTAAGCCATGTCTTCCAGGAAAAAACTTGCTTTGTCACATCAACATGTTTTTTTTTTAAGAAACCCACTTGCAAAAGGCATTTTGAATTTCCAGCCAGAGCCTGTATCTATTTCAAACATACTCAACTTCAAATACGATTAGATGCTAGATAGGTAGGCACTTACCAGGTTTCAAACAGACACCTAAATTAAGTGTCCTTTCTGTTTCCTCTCTTAACAAAGTGTCCACGGAGGCAGCACAAAGAAAACGTCAATTTGAATTATGAACATTAGACAAGAATATTGATGAAGCGCAGGGCGCCTCAAATGAGCACGGCAGAGAAATGATAAACGTCCGCAGTTCCCACCGCTTTCGCACTGACTTCAACATATAGGGCCTTGACTTCAACTTGCTTTTGTTTGCCTCCGCACAACCAACCAACTCAACGCGCACCGCGCGCACCCACGTGGGCTCGCACGTGCGCGCACAACGCGTCGTCGCCCGGGGGCACTCTCAACTCAACGATCAGGCTCTTTCTCGTCTCGGATGGCGGGAAACAGGTTTCTAGTTTCCCGGTCAAAATGACAAACAAACTCAAGTCTCAAAGTCAACCAGGGGCGTAACTTTGTATACTTTTGGGGAGGCAGGTGCCCCCCCAACTTGAAATTTTGCCACCCCAACATTCCGTTTGCCCCCCCAACCTTGGTGGGCGCCCCCAGGCCCGAAAGGCGCCCTCACGGGCCAGCGGCGTCATAGGAGCGCGTGCGCCATCTTTCAAGGGGGCGCCATCGCCTAATATGGAAATGGGATGCGTGAGAGGGGAACCTCTGAGGCCGTGGGGGCGCCTGCATGCGAAAGAGGGGCGCCCATGAAGTCCTCAGGGGCGCCTCAATGCAAAACACGGGCGCCTGAGATGGCCACAGGGGCGCCTGCATGCGAAAGAGGGGCACCTTATTGGTCTCTGAGGCCCTTCGGGGTGCCTCTGAGGTCTATAGTATAGGGGGCGCCCACATGAAAAAGGGGCGCCCATTAAAGGAAATAGTTCACTTTTAACATGGGGTTTTGAACTGGAATAGCAGTTTCGTAGCTTGAGCTGAGACTAGCACAAATCAGGAGCTTTTACGGCTCAACGATCACCCTAGACGAAGATATTCCATTTCTCGTTCCGAAAAGAGTGCCTTGCAGAGGAATGTGTGCCTTGCACAGGAATACAGCCACGTCATCGTCAGCCAATCAGCATGCTGCTTACAGCCAATGCAGCATGCGTAGGTTTGAACTACGCAATATGATTGGTCAACGCGTAATAAGCTTCCGCGTCAAACATTATTTTACATAGAATATAGTTCGTCCTATATTAAAATATAGAAAATAATTGTTTTTACAAAAAGGTTTTATTTTATTTTCTGATCATTTTGAGCATAACAAATCATAAATCCATAGCAAAATACTAATTTCAGGAAAGTGAACTGTTTCCTTTAAGGCCATAATGGCGCCCCAATACGAAAGAGGGGAGACTGCATGCCAAATGGGGGGCGCCTCCGAGGCCCATAGAAAGAGGAGCTCCAGTTGAAGCCCAAAGGGGCGCCTCAATGGGAATTAGAGACGCCTGTGAGGTCTACAGGGGCACCTCTGATGCCCATGTCGAGAGAGTCGTCAGTCGTTTGTGTAACGTTCCTCAGGGATGGTGCGCCGCTTGCGGCAAGTAAAAACTTAGCTAAATAGCGTGCCCCATTGGTTAAAAAGCGCCCCTCGAGCCAAAGTGGTGCCCCTCTGAGTTCTGACAACACGCACGTCTTATGTCATCTGTTTTGCTAATAACTAATGCCCCCGCATGCAGAGCGGCGCCCCATCCGTTTATCAATGTGACCCTTCAGGTGGATGAAGCGCTCCTCTGGCCAATACCTTATCATCATTGTTGCTAGAACAGCGCCCCCAGTCCGTAGACTGCCCCATTGGCTCCTGAAGGCGCCCCTCGTGCCCGTTTTGGCGCCCCTCTGCGCTGAGTAATGAAATGTATGTGGCCTACCAATTCTTAAGGGCGCTCCTTGAGTCATAATCATCGCTCCTCGGGGAGGGGGGGGGGAGGCTAGAGGGCCTAGATACCATAGCACGCTATAGTGTGTTATGGCATCCCTGCTGCTAAAACGGCACACTTAGCTAGGTTAGCGCCTCAACGGTTCATACAAGCGCCCCTCGAGCCGAAGTTCGCGCTCCTCTGACTTACATAATTTCCTTGCTAAGTACGACGCCCCTCGCTGGGCATGGGGTGGCGCCCCACCAGTTTACCAACGCGCCCCTTTGGCCACATGAAGCGCTCCTCTGGTCAATGCGGTCAATACCTTATTTCATCACTGCAGCTAGAGCGGCGCCCCTATTTCGGTGGCTGTTCCATCGGTTCCTGAAGGCACCCCTCGAGACAGTTTGGAGGCCATCTGCAGTGAGTATTAAAATTGATGTGGTTAAGAATGGCGCCTTCTGCACGGTGTCGCACCGATTCTAAAGGGCGCCCCTTGAGTCAATGTAATCGTCCCACAGGGCCTTGTGTGTTATGGTATCCCTGCTGTTAAAGCGCCACTCTTGCTTGGCGTAGCGTCCCAACGGTTCATGGCACCCATCGAGCCAATGTTAGCGCTCCTCTGACTATACTGGTATCCTACATCATCTTTTTTGTTCAAAGGGTGGCAAAATGTGGACCCGAGGACCCGGTCAAAAGAACCGGTCTGGACCCATATGGGTCCGGACCGGTTCCTGGAAATTTTCTGGCGGGTCCAACCGGGTCCTACCATAAACCATACATAGTGGACACTACATATGATTGCAAAATATGAAGTGAATGGAAAGAAAACATTTGCTCATGTATGTTCCTTTGCACACTGTAGCTCATAAGTATTATCAGTGGGAAAAGGGCTGTTTTACACGATGCAATTAATGATTTCTACAAACGGTTTGTATTAATTGACTTTTGGGGAACGGGTCCAACTGGTTCCGATTCCAACTTAGACCGGGTCCGACTGGTTCCAGAAATGTCCAGCCGGGTCTGGTTCGAGTCTGGTTCCCAAAATTTTCACGTTTTGACACCTCTAGATCAAAGCAGGAGTAATTTGTATCATTTCGTGATAACTTGATATCACCTGGTGAGCCACAGACTTCTGCATGTCTCGGTATACAGAGGTATATGGGTGACCTAAGCTTGAACGCTCTCAGCCTGGGATTAACCCGCGACGGGCTGGTGCTCCGCGACTTCCGCGCCGGGCGGTGAGGGGGGTGTCTGGTCTAACTCGGCTCCTGGGCCACGTAGCGACACGCAGTAAGCAGCATTCGAAAGAGCGTCAAAAATAATGACGGAAACACTTCGGTCATTTTTTGGGTCAGGTCAAAGGTCAGGTCGTCTGAGGTCATCAAAGGTCAAATGTAGGCCATTTCAACAATTTTGGAAACTGCAACGGCTAACTCGGGATCAATAGAGCTACAGCGCCGCGGAAAAGCGCATTCGATAGCCCTTTTACAGACCTTTCTGACCATTGTTCTCAGATTTGACCTAAGGTCAACGGTTTAGCCTCCAAAGGGCAAAAACTGTAAAATAGCAGTTTTCACGAAAACTGTTTTTCGGCAATAACTTTTGACTCAAGAGTGCCACGACATTACGTTTGGCAGCATCATGTTCCTCTCGTCGAGACGCGTCGAATGAACTATTTTTTGACCTTGAAAGGCCATTTTTAAAATTTGACCTCAGGTCAAGGTCGACCGAAAAGGGTCATGTTGCATATCAGTCGATCCGTATCGTCGAGTTGAATAGGTACATCTGAAGTGTTTTCATCGCTCTAGCACGCCTTTATCAAAAGTTACAGCCAAAAAACTGGTGGTGACCGTCTATGACCTGAGGTGACCTCAAGGGCACACAGAGGGGTCACAGGTGCATTTTTTCCGATTCAGTGTATCATGTTTACCTATGCGCGATGTTTGAGAGGGTTCTAAATACCATTCGTCCAAAAAAGGCTCATTTCAATTTTCTCCCATTGACTTATAATGGAGAGGTCGCAAAATTGACCTGACCATAGGTCACTGATATCAAAATTCCGAGATAAACATTTTAGACATACTGTTACTCTTATCAATCGCTGAAAGTTTCAAGGCGATCGTTCAGTTGGTGTAGCTATGACGAGGATTGCAACTTTTTTTCTGAGGTGAGGTCTTTTGACGTGACCTGGTGACCTGACCTTGAGAGCTCTGGGTCTGAAATTTGCACATGTGTAAAAAAAAAGATGCATGAACAGGTGTGCCAAAAACGGCGGCGCGGAGTTTTGAGATATCTGCGAAAAACCGCAGGGGAGGTGTTCACTCCCCCCCCGGCCCGGCGCGGGCGGGGGGGGGGGGGCAATTTTTTATTTTTTTCGATGAGGGCAATTTTTTGCCACTGGTTTGCTTCTAGAACACGTGCGGAAAAGATGCAGTATGAAGTGTGTTCTTAACTTAAAAGGGGAGGCGTAAAAACGTCCCTTGCTTCTGCGTGGGGTGAAGTTCTACAGATTTGTTTCTTTAATCTCGCCTTTTTATCAGTTGTTTTTTCTTTTCTTTTTGTCAATTCATCAGTTCGTCTCGTTTCTTTAGAAGAACTACCATATGCGTTGTTTAATAAGGCGTCACTACCCTGGTCCCCAATTCCACTACCCGCCCCCGGTCTCTGGTCCCCAAAGTGCTTTCAAAATGTATTTGGTTACAAAATAATTCCGCGCTTTTGGCGCGCTATTTCAGAAAAAAAAACTGCAACATAACGTGCCAAAACACGACGGCACAAAAACAACGTGCTATGGTAAAAACAAAATGCTGCCGTAAACTGAAATAAGACTTATTTCTAGACAGTCACGGGGAGGCGCCCCCATGCCCTTAAAAAGGCGCCCCTGACAGCGTTGCCCCCCCAACGAAAACCAAAAAGTTACGCCCCTGAAGTCAACCCCGACTTTACAAGCCTACAGGTGATGAAGTGAAAGGTGAAACCAAGGCAGTATATACCGGTGAAACGTTTATTGAAAAGGAAAACAAGGGCGGATCCAGGGGCCATAGGGGCCATGGCGCCGCTCTGATACAACATGTAGGTACCCACCTCGCCGCCATCTTGGAAAAAACATCCTCGTGCTCAAGAACAGCGGACAGCTGGAGAAATCCATTTTCACTCACGCAGCCTTTAGAACCTATACCCTCACCACAGCTACGGAGATCTGTCAAATTCGTGTAGGTACATCTAAATGCCCAAAACACACATTTTCTTGCAACTTATTTTTTTAGAATGACATTAAAAAAACATAAAATCGGCTGTCACCTCGAGACGCTTCCACCCAGCCACACGACAGAACCAGGCAGGGCATATCTTAAGGCACTTACTGCGTCCCATTCTGGGACGCAGTCCCCTCGCCTTGGGACATAGCCCCTGCTAATTTGACGCACTGCGTCCCTGCCCTGTGCCCTGTCCGGTTCCCTGACTTGTGCCCTGCTGTGTGCCCTGACC